AGGGAGAAGCAGATTCCCCACCGAGCAGGGAGCCCGATGCGGGACTCGATCCCGGGACTCCAGGATCATGACCTGAGCCGAAGGCAGCCGCTTAACCAACTGAGCCACCCAGGCGCCCCCGGAGTTCTGAACTTTTTAAATGACCTCTGGGACAAGTGGGATACTGGGATTGTGGGATTCTCCTTTCACTTCTGATTTAACCCAGAGTAATAATTCCCAGAGGCAGTATGGTGGAATAGTTAAAAGCTTGGACTCTGCAGTCGCATTGCCTAAATTCTAAATCCACCTCTGCTTCTTATATGCTGAGTGACTTTGGGTAAATTACTTAACCTCTTTGTGTCTCAACTGTGAAATAGTATCATAGGATTATTTTGAGGATTAAATGAGTTAAGTCATTTAGGGGTTTATAGCAATGCCAGGCATATAGTAGATGTGCAGTAAATGTCAACTTGTATTATTACCTGTTTTATATTTGGGGCTATATATAAAATATTTTTTGAAGAAAGTTTTTGCTAAAACAGATTTGAAAATGCTGCATTATATATCATATTACATATTATAAAATCCAAACTCCATAAACCAGGGATCATAACTATTTTCATTCACTTGAGTTCAAGTATTTTTGAAGTATTCATTGTGTTCTGAAAACTTTTATAGCTGAGACCATGACTGATGCCACTTCTTCATAGTGATTTCCAAAAGAATGGAGCAAAGAAAGGTGGGGAAGTGTTTTGGAGAGAAAAAGAAGTCTGGCATGTAATTGGTATAAATATGTATGGAATAAATAAACTAGCCTAGGCTTTAGGAACTGCACAGATCTCAGTCTGTTAAGATACCAGTCCTAATTCATAGAAATAGAGAAATGTACCTGTAACTGACTTTTACTGAAAAGTAAGATATTAACAGCAAATGTATGTAATGGGAAGAGGATAAGGATAAATGCTTATTTTCTTGGGAATTGCCTGGTAGTTTGGGGGCATGAATTTACTGAAGGAATTGCAGATTGATTCAGGATTGAGACAGAAAGCCACCTCTTCCCATTTGATCAGTTTGAAGTCTCTGGGAGTAGGACAGAAGTATTCCATACATAAGTTCCATTTTCTTGAAAAGCTGTTAAATGTACAAAAAAATAGCTCCAGATTGTTGTGGGTGAAGGAGGATAATGACAACATACACATCTTGTAGCCATTTGACCTAGATGTCAAGGAACTTGAGTTTTGTTTATCTACGCTTATTTTTTCTGACAATTTTTTTTAATTTTTTTT